CGACCTGGCGAATGGAGCCGGTGGGCCACCCAGGACATTCGCAACAGATTCCGGGCTGCGCGAGGGTCCCTTCAGGGCTGCACGACTATAAGCTAATGCTCATTTCCTCCAGCCTTCCTCTTCTTGGTCAGCCTAGTCCCTAGCCCCATCCCCATCAACCTACTATGTGTTCCAAGGCTGGCTTCCAATAGCTCGCTGAGCAAAACCATTCAAAATGCGAGATACGTGTGGATATGTTTGCCAAGTGCGAGGCTCTTGTGATCCATGTGATGGCTTAAGTGGGCACGGACCGACCCCGATCTGGCCTGCCTCGAGTCGCCTGAGGTTTTACTCAAACCTCAAACGGCACGGGTGAACCCGGTTGAACTTGGGCCCATGACCGCCCATCGGCCCTACTTGGGGTGGGGTGTATGACGGTTGTGACCCGACCCCGGGTCGGGTGATCAGACCCGACCATTATTTTGCATCTTTTTCTTGTATCTGAAACAACCAGATCAACATACATGCTAGTCCCACAACCAAGATGCACACCATAACCGTCACCACAAAAGGAGAACCACGGACAAGCCTGAGAGATGCGTCAAAAAACAAAATCAGGTGGGCAGAGCGTGGAGTAGGTGGGTGGGTGGGTGGGGCACGGATGATATTTTGGGGTCGAGCGTACGAGGATGGGCGCGTGTAGGTGGTGGGTGGGTCGGGGACCAGGTGGGACGGGTGCAAATCAGGAGGATGGGTCATGCGCATGAGGAGGGCACGGGTAGCAGGTGCGTGGGGCGTGCAAAGCACCCGGGTTACCCGCGCCTAGCTTGTAGGGTGGGGCTCGCGAATCTGCTGGGGCGTCGTGTGCATAGCAGGTAGGGCATGCAAGGCAGGCAGTGCGCGGAGCATGAACCTGGAGTGTTCACATCAGATAAATAAATTGGACAAGAACAGTAGTTACAGGTGCCCTTTGATGAATCTAATCATGCCTTTGTAAGGACGTGGCATCATGAGGCGTCCAGAGCTGTGAGCGGTCGCAGCTGAGAGGGTCCACAGGGACGATGCCGCCACGGCTCAACGAGAAGAGTGGGCCAAAGTAGTCGTCGGTAGGTGGGGCGTGTCTAGCTGGTGCTAGAGGGTTCCGTTGGTGTTTCTCCAGTATGCAGGTAATAATACCCAAGACATAGGCAGGTCGCGCCAAAATGGGGTTGCAATGTGGAACCCCACTTCCTGACAGCGCGGGTCGGCTCCCTCTCGTCACTCGGGTCGGGTGTGTCGGGCTGGGGGTGTCCTTGGGTGGGCCCCACCCCATCGCTCATGCGACCCGACCCGGCCTTACAACCGGCTGGTCGGGTCGGGTTGAGTTCACCCAACTGTCCCTCTAGTGCGGGAGGCGTCGTGCCGTGGCGCCGAAACAAAGAAACCGTGCAACCAAGTGGGGTACTTGGGACGAAACAATTGTGCGGCATTGCCTTAGTGTTTGATTTTTGTGAATGTTCTCTTGACTATACGCGATGGAGGTTTCGTTGAGACACTGTCTCGTTGCTTCGGATCGGCCATGTCTCAGCGCGGATCGACCATGTCTCAGCGCGGATCGGCCATGTCTCAGCGCGGATCGGCCATGTCTCAGCGCGGATCGGCCATGTCTCAGCGCGGATCGGCCATGTCTCAGCGCGGATCGGCCATGTTTCAGCGCGGATCGGCCATGTCTCAGCGCGGATCGGCCATGTCTCGGTGCGGATCGGCCATGTCTCGGTGCGGATCGGCCATGTCTCAGCGCGGATCGGCCATGTCTCAGCGCGGATCGGCCATGTCTTGGCGCGGATCGGCCATGTCTCAGCGCGGATCGACCATGTCTCAGCGCGGATCAACATTGTGGCAAAAAGTGGGCCTGTGCATTGGTCGCCCTTCGCGCCAAAAGTTTTGGATGCACAAATCTCCGAACACACAACGGTCCACAAAAATGTTACACGGCCTTATTTTAACCGACCTCCATGGAACAAAACCAATTCAACGTGGCATTTTGACCTGCGGCAAACCTTGGCCTGTTAAACGTGACTTAGTTTGTGCAGGTTTTCCAAGTGAGTATCCCGACTTTCACTCTCTGCCTTGGATTGGACCCCTCTCTTCCTCCCTGTGCCTTTCACTCCGGATTTCCTCTCCCCGCCCCTTCCTCCCGCTGCCAGCGCAAGTCCTGCTGGATTGTCAGAAGGCGTGGAACACAACGATTGATGGCTGGGTGGTTGGTGGGGAGTGCAGCAAGGCAAGCGATGTCACGTGCAATTCCCAGGGCATGATAACATCCATGTGAGTGGCATGCTTGCGTGGGAATTCCATAGAACACCAATTTCTTGGGCATGCATGTGTCAGAGTTCTTTAATACTCCAATTTTCGTTCTTGTGGCCCCTTCCGCCCCTCCCTCCCTCCCTCCCTCCCTCCCTCCCTCCCTCCCTCCCTCCCTCCCTCCCTCCCTCCCTCCCTCCCTGCCCCCCTCCCTCCCTCCCTCCCTCCCTCCCTCCCTCCCTCCCTCCCTCCCTCCCTCCCTCCCTCCCTCCCTCCCTCCCTGCCTCCCTCCCTCCCTCCCTCCCTCCCCCCCTCCCTCCCTCCCTCCCTACCTCCCTCTTTCCCTCCCTCCCTCCCCCCTTTACCCTTTTCCCCGACCCCTGATCCCTCTCGGCCTCACTTCAACCCTCATGCTTTCTCACAGCTCATCCCCCCTTGATTTCTCCCATATTTCTATTTCTGTTTCCAGCAAATAAGCATCCAGTATCTGCCTTTTTGTCTCTTTCGAAGATTCTTTCCACGTATCACCGTCAATCCTCTCGCGCTTTATCCATTACCCTTCCCTCTCCCTCACTCCCTCCCTCGCACTCTACATTCTCTTCCATGTGTATGCTGGAATCGAAACGCATTTGGCAAAACTGTTTCGAAGAAATGTGTTGCTAACCCCCTTGTAGAAATATAGGGAGAAGAAATTTATTCGGATCCGTTCCTGCAAGCCTTGGCAACCTGACCAGCTTGACAAGTTTGTGAGCACGCCCTACCCTACCACTATTGCTGCTAGGACACACTTTTGTTTTTCTTTCATCTGATCGAGTAAATGCCGCTTTGTCTTATTCACGCAATCAAAACACTAGCTCGTCAACTGCAGTATTTCAGCTTTGAATGAGGCAATGTTGCTGTCGTTTGTTGATTATATGTGCTTGTTTTTTGGTTGTTATGTACTGTTTCGTTTGAGTTCTCATTGTAGTGTCACAATGCTTGGTGATAGTAAAGAATGTATATTACGACCGTAATATAGTACCCGTATTATACGGAAACCATAATTTTGAGCATCACTTTTCTTGTGTGCGTGTGCTGTGCTGTGTGGTCAGCATCACATCTCCAAATCTGTGTTGTACCTTTAATCTCCTGCTAATGACAAGTACAAACGAACTAGTTTGAAACGGTCTGCAACTCTTGTTCTCGAATCTGCATTCTCGCATGTCCGTATGATCCATCTCCACCTTTCAGCACATGAACTAGCTTTTGACTCATCTGTTACCGAGTTGTGTCTGTCTGTCCTCACCATTCTTACTTATTTCAAACACTTGCACTCATTCACCTCGTTTGCCACATGCATACACTCAACCTTAATGTCCTCTTTTCAGGAAGTTTCAGTACAACCAGCTGCTGAACACCATTCCAGACTCCTTTAGCCGGCTCACGAATCTTTGCTATTTGTAAGCAGAACCAGATTTTGAGTTGAGATACGAAGCACAGCCAGACCCAGACTGCTCTCAGTTTCAGGGCCCATAGACTGTTTTGTGTCTGATCGAAGTCAGAGTCATATGAGTTCGCCTATGCGATTTAGGCTTTGACACTGCTCCTTCTTACATTCTATGTGCGTTACGAAGTAAGTGGCCATAGTCAAGGGATGGCATGGGCAGCCCTAGCTTCCCACCAAGCAGGCTCGTGGTCTCTCCTTAACCGACGGCCCGGGTCCGGTTTATCACAGACGTTGTGTGGCTGGAGACGGACTGGGCTAGGCCCGATCTGACCAACAGTTGGAGGAGAAGGGGAGGTGTGTGGGAGTGCGGGGTTGTGTAGTGGGAGACGAGCTAGGCCGGAATCGGCCCTTCCTGCCCGCCTGAGTCTGGGCCGAGCCCAAAATCCCTCCAGCAGTGAGCTTATCTGCAGAGCAACGAGTCTCTTGGAAAGGGTGCAAAATACCTGTACTCCCTGACACGCAGATTGTTGTGCAATCCTTAACGCTTCTTCCCTAACGCACTTGAGGATGTGCTTAAAGGACCGCCGCCCTGGTATGCTGAAGTGAAGCACTGTGCGGAATAGGTCCGTGGGAAATGGCTAGACCGGGTGGTTTTGTGTCGGACCGGTCTTGGTCTAATAACTCCTGTCGAACTTCTGTTCGACTCAACACCATACAGCAAAAGAAAGGGCCCCATTCGGTTCCACCATACAGCAAAAGAAAGGGTATTACTTTCATCTCCACCTTACCCCTCCTTGCTTCTATCCTATTGTTCTTCTTAAATACATGTGCCTGAACTGCCTTCCCCATGGCACCCTTTTTGCTGGCCTTGGATCATAAGGGAACTGTATCAAGTTGGTGTGACTGGAAGCATTCCCAGCAGTATTGGCGCAATGAGCAGCCTGACATACTTGTGAGTACTGTGACATACTTGTGAGTACTGTGACATACTTGTGAGCACTGTGACATACTTGTGAGCTCTGTGACATACTTGTGAGTACTGTGACATACTTGTGAGTACTGTGACATACTTGTTAGTACTGTGACACTGACCTGGGCTCACAATGACCTGGGCTCACAACAAACTGGCAGTTGGGGACGCATGTAATGCGATCGATGGTTATGCAAAGCTGTTGCGGTCTGTTTGGAAGACATATAGTTCTTTTGAAACAACAGAGCAACCGTTATGGGCATGGCATCCTTATCAAAGCTGCCATAATTGACTGCTGGAGTATGGCTGGCGTGCCGCCCACAAGCCAGGCAAACAACCCAAATGGCTGTACATGAGCCGACCAGGCTCGGCGAGCCCAAGCCTTAGTGGGGCTCGTCAGCGACCTGAGCCTTAGTGGGGCTCGTCAGCGACCTGAGCCTTAGTGGGGCTCGTCAGCGACCTGAGCCTTAGTGGGGCTCGTCAGCGACCTGAGCCTTAGTGGGGCTCGTCAGCGACCTGAGCCTTAGTGGGGCTCATCAGTGACCTGAGCCACCCGAGACGCGTTTCCATTGTTGATGAGAAGCTATCGAGCCAACACCCTCATTTTCATGCACGCATTTCCAGTCCAAGAAAACAGCTCATTTTCTTTCTCATTGTTTTTCGAGCCGACAGTCCTCATTTTCCTTGAGTGATGGAGTAGGCAAACGTTGACCCCAAAGCAGCTGCGATGACAGTGAATGTTACCACATGCCTGTTGCGGCCTGTGATCACCCAGCCTTGCCACAAGCCTCCCTGGCTCGTCACCCATTGGACAAGACACGAGCCTCCCTGGCTCGTCACCTATTGGACAAGACACGAGCCTCCCTGGCTCGTCAACCATTGGACAAGACACGAGCCTCCCTGGCTCGTCACCCATTGGACTAGACACGAGCCTCCCTGGCTCGTCACCCATTGGACAAGACACGAGCCTCCCTGGCTCATCACCCATTGGACAAGACACGAGCCTCCCTGGCTCGTCACCCATTGGACAAGACACGAGCATCCCTGGCACAATCTCTGGCCCCTGACGAGCTGGCCACTGGCCAGCCACAGCACGTGTCTAGTTGGTGATGATATTTGTGTAGAGTGTTTGTTGTAGCACTGTTCACTCTCGAGGTGGTAGTTGCCTGTCATGTGACCTGACCCCCAAACATAAAGCGCACGCGACCCGACCCGCTGAGTCTCGACCCGATTCGCGTTTTTGGCCAGATGGAGTCAACTACAAGAAGGCCTTGACTGACTGGGTCGGGAGGCCCCAACCTGGACCGTTGCTCATGTCTGACAATGTCCATGCATCCACTCCCCATGGTAGATCCTATGTGCGCACCCGACATGACCGTGCCTCGTGTGTCTATGCCTCGTGTGTCCTATGGTAGATTATCTTGCCTCGTGTGTCCGTTGCCTTGTGTGTCCCTTTCCTTGTGTGTCCGTTGCATCGTGCCTCTGTTGTGTTTTGACATCATCAGGGATCTTTGCTACAACGTCTTGAGGGACACCATTCCTGACTCCATCAGCAAGCTAAAAAATCTTCAGACACTGTGAGGAAGTGATTCAATTTCATCTGCATCCCACAGCTATAGGCCGATATTGTAGGCCAGGCCAGCTAAGAAAACTTTTGGAGAGTTGTAGCAGAGTATGTAGATGACAAGTCAAATTTTCGACTAAGCAAAGTATTTGAGATACATTTGAGTCGACTACCAGGTTGGTCCGACAAGGTTCCGGCAAAACCGGTAAATAGAATATCATATGATTTAATGCCATTGTTTAGATGTATGTAGACATTGGCAAATGGGCGAACCCCTGTTTTGATCGACCCGAACGTGTTCGAGTCGAACCTTTGGCAAAAAATGTTCGGCCGAACATCTATGTGTTCGGGGCGAACATATTCGAGTGTTGGAATTCTGTTGTGCAGGCCCGTGGAACATCAAGCATGTTGGAGTGTTGGACGTGTTCAGGTCGAGATGGGCACTGGAGGGGGAGGGGCTCGAGCAGCACGACCTGGAAGGGGCTGTTAAGGGGGGTTGGGGGGCTGTGGAGGGGGGTTGGGGAGCTTTGGAGGGGGGTTGGGGGGCTTTGGAGGGGGGTTGGGGGGCTTTGGAGGGGGAGGGGAGGGGCTTTTGAGGGGGGAGGAGGACTGCTCGAACCGTCATGGGCGAACAATTACCTGTTCGCCGCCATGTTGGAAAAAGTGTTCGCTCGAACGGAACATGTTCGGTTCGAGTTGGAGGGGTGTCGAAAGTGTTCGACAGGAACACGTTCGAGTTCGCCCATTGCTCATGTCTAGATGTATGGCACCGTGCATTCATATTCGTGTGTGAACAAATGCTGTGATTTACCTCGCTCTTTTTACCCTTGCAGAATGCTTAGTCTGAACAAGTTGTTAGGCTCGATAGCAGCGTCAATGGGCAACCTTGGAAGTCTGACCGTCTTGTGAGTAAACCACTTGACTGGAAGCGCTAGAGCTCTTGTACAGCGTTTCTGAAGCACTCTACACAATCATGAATCTGGCAATGATCTTCCTCCTCCGCATCGACACTCCCTGCCATGAGGCACAGGCCTTGTTGACAAGACATTGCAAGCAAGTTGCTGAGCCACCCTGACTCATTCAGCCGGCACTGCTCAAGTCGGAACAAGCCGTCAGTACCTGATGCCTGCCCCAGCTTGCCACAAGGACGAGACCACCTAGCTGCTCGCCCACCTGGCTGCTCGCCCACCTGCGCATTCATATCCCCAACCTTTGATGGGCCCTTCTGTCTCAGATGTCCACACATACATGTTCTGTGGAGTTTTCGCATGAGCATATTAGAGAACTAGGGTTTTCACGGGTTTGGTTTGGTTTGGGTTTAGGTGTTGAATGACGTCAAACTGGTTCCGTTCATCATAATCTCCAATCCATCGATCTGTAGTCAGTTCGACAGTAAAACCTGGACGTTTACAGGTTTTGGTGGACACTGGAGCTCAGCGCGGATCTGGGTTTTTCGGAAGCCAATTAGGCATGATCTGGGACTTTGGCTGAACCTGCCATACCTAGACATGAGCATAGCACTGCAAAGTATTGAACTTAAGTCCAGTCACACTTGTTCGAGGCTAACCTTACCTACCTAAAGGCCAAGCCACAACGGTTCAACTCGGGTCGTTTCAGCTTATATTGCCTAGGCGCCACAAACTGAACTGAACCACTGTAAGCCTTTAATGGTTCGCCTCCAAAATGCAGCATGGCTTGGTAGATAAAAAGCAGCTTGGCTACCGGAAAAGCAGCGTGGCTACCGGAAAAGCAGCGTGGCTACCGGAAAAGCAGCGTGGCTACGATCATACCCCCGGGACGGGTATGAGTTCGGTCGGTCCGACCCGATCATGGGCCAAAGACTTTGGGGAAGCTGGCCCGACCCTGGCTTATGGGGTTGGGTCGGCTGTGACCCAAGCAGGGATGAGCAAAGGGCGAACACGAACATGTTCGTGTTTGCCCCTTCACGAACACGGCCTTTTGCTGAACCCCCCTCCCCTACCTTTCCCTCCTCCTGCTCCCCTGAGTTGGCGCTGCTCAGGGCCATCTGCCTGGCGGACGTGGTGTTGTGAGGGGAGCTGCTGCTGCCGCCACACCACCATGCTTCTTCTTTCCCAGCCCTGGTTTCTCTCCTCCCCCCACGCTACTTCCCCTTCCCTTGTACCAATTCTCCTTGTTCCCCTCTTTTAGACGAAAAAGGGACCGGGCGACTCATATCTCTCCCTTATGCCCACGAGCACGACAGCGAGAAGCAAGAATCTTGCGACAACATAGTGACAAGAGGCATATTCATGGACTATATTATATTCTCCACTCCACTGGTCTTGCCTTGCACTTGAACATCCGTCACTGTTCTGTCTTCAGAGACCTCCACCAAAATAGCTTCGTGGGCAACATTCCTGCTTCCTTTGGCAATCTCACAAATCTTCGTTCCTTGTGAGTGCCATTCTTGGGTTGACATGTGAGCCATAGCCAGACCGCTTGGTCATTCTCGGCGCAGAGGAGCTTCTTCTCAGATTTGAGTATTCACCCATTCCTTGCGTTATACCACATGCTTCAAAGTACATAAGAGCAAATAATTACTCGTTTCAAAATATAGCCAAACCGAGAGATACTCGTGCAAAGTTTTTTTTTTAACTTGAATTCGGACTCGTTACTCGGCCAAAAGGTCGCTAATTTTTCTAAACAACCTGGGGGTATTTTTCATATTCCACATGGTCTGGCGGATTACTAGGTTAGACATACTTTTCACAAATGTCGAGTATGATTTGAGAATGTTTCCTCTCGACACAATTTTACTCTGCTCAACTAGATCGAGGTTTATTTGTTTGTTTGTTTGTTTGTTGTTGTTTTTTTTTTTTTTTTTCTACTGAGGGACTCGTTACTCGTTCTTGTCAAGTGATAATAACAAGTGGAGTATTTACTCGATGCTCGTTTGCTCGTATATTTGAGCAGTGGGTCGTCCTAACTCCACTAGGGATGAGAAAAAGGCGAATTCGAACATGATCGATTTCGCCTTGCCTCGAACACTCGTGTTTGGTGAACCGAACATGTTTGTGTTCGGCCGAACACAAACCGGTGAAGGAGGTGCTTGGTGTTCGCCAAAAAAGGTGAACACCAAGGTGTTCGACCCGAGCACGAACATGTTCGTGTTCGCCTGTAGGCAGCCTTGAAAATAGTTACAGACTTAAAAAATGGTGGGTTTGGGCATCCAGGGTGGTGTGGCTATACCTGGTGGACGTTTGCGAGTAAAGGAAATGAAACACCAAAAAAACAAAGTTTGGTTCCGCCAAACTATTTCATTAGAGTCTAAGTATGCTAGCTGCTGAAGAATGTAGTCTAGGCTGTCGGAGGGGAGTGAGGCAAAAGTCAAGCTTAGAAATGAGCTCGAATAGTGTGTCCCATCTACCTAAACAAAGGGTCAAGGGATGCCGAGGAACACATTTGTGTTCGTTGGAAAGCAATGCCGATTGAGAGCGGACAAAGTCTGGTACAAGCCGCAACATGGAGGGTGAATACAAACAACCTCAATTCCCAGCCCCCACACCCTCCTCGCTCCGATTCTCGCCAGTCCTTCTACTTGCCGCTTCGCAAGAAACAAGTTGGAAACAAGAGCTCGAAGTAAGATGCCGACGGAACAAATCTGTCATCCAGCCTTCGGCTTAGACATGGGCAACGAGGCGAGTAAAAAACTTGACTCGTTTTTATTACTCGTTATGGCCGAGTAACGAGTCGGCTAATTGGCAGTTTTTAGTCCTCCGAGGCGAGGGGAGTAATACTTGTGAGTGAAAGGGTTCTCATTTTAATCTCGGGCTTGTTTTTTGTTGTTGTTGTTGTTGTTGTTGTTGTTGTTTTTGTTTTGTTTTGTTATTTTTGTTACTTGTTTTTTTTTTTTTTTAACGAGTACTTCCATACTTGCGAGAAAATTGTTTCTCGTGAGTACATAAATTACTCGCGTTATGACTTCAAAAACTGCAGAGTGTTGGAAGTGGACACTGGAATGACCCGACGTGGTCTCCCTAAGGGCTACAGTTGTCGTCCTTGGGGGGTATGGGTGCGCTGACCAGGAAATATGCCGTTTTATTCCAGTTGGTTAGCAAACTATGATCTATCACTGCACAGAGAATTGTGCCAGTTCAGTTTTGCACATGTTAATGAAGATTTTCACTTGTTTATGGCTGAATGGATCAAGGCTGCTGATGCGGAACCCGCTGCCCTGCACGATGACACTAGACATGTGCAGAGATTTGCCATGAGCCGAGTTTTTTGGGCCGGGGTCGGACCCGAGTGTGTGTAAAAGCTTGGACGGGTGTGAATTAAACTGTCCGGGGTGGTTGGGGGAGGGGGGGGTATAACATACCAAGTCGCTGCTGAACACCCCTCTACCTAAGGTATGGTGGCTATGACGCGTCAAGCCTATTGGTGCTAGCGTTTGGACGCTTGACGCGCCCTTGGAGAAAGAAACTATGGACGCTAGTTTGATGCTCGGGCGGGCAGGAAGCAGGCAAAAGAAAAGGCCATGGGTAGAAACAGCTTAGGAGGGGGTGTAGGATGTTAGAACCATAGGAGCCATGGATGGCGTGGTATAATAGTAGTATTGAGAATGTCGAAATAACATTTGAGCATGAGAGTTGGCAACCCTAACCTTATTTAGGGTGCGTGTGTTCAGTTTATGCTAAAACATGTGAAATGAACCTTAAACTGAAACCTAAAGTATAACTTGCTCTATACATGGCGAAATATTAGATTCTGCGGGGAGAGAAAGAGCCAATCGTACCCCGGTCCCCAACTTGAGAATTGCACTTTCAGGGGGAGATTTTGCCTACTCCAACAAAATGGGCCCGATCGAGGGTGCCTAGCCGGCTCGCCTCTAGCAGGGAGGGCGGCTTTATTCGAGCCAACCAGCTTTCAGGCCTGAAGTGGTTCTTGCCCAAAACTGCCTCTGAAACATTCGCCTCTTGCATGCCTTCACAGACCTGTAATATACCATTAGGAACAGTACTTATATTCAAGCAATCTACCATACTACTAACAATACGTCTACAAGGTGTTATCGGATGAAAGTCTAAACTTCATACCAAGTGAAACTAAATTCCTAGTGGGTGGCCTTGTCGAGGAGCCAGGTGAAAGTAGACTAGAAGGTAAGAAATTTGTTAAGTTTAGAACTGAATTGAAAAGAGGCATCTGAACTCGGTATATGTAGAAAAGTACGACCATCCCGACTGAGGGTCGTGCTGGTCACCACGAGCTGGCTGTGCTGCCGACCCTCCCTTTGCTACAAGGACAAGGCTTTGCCTCTTGCTCGGTCTTCAAACTTTCATGGCTCCATAAAAGTTGACACCAAAAACATTGCTGGACACGGACTGACTCTTGAAGTGAAGATTACCGTACGTAATCTGAGAAGGCAATTGTGAGTTTTAACCTATACGAGACTTAGCAAGTCACTGATTACGTTGCCATAAATTTGATCGGTCACTTGTAACTTATGACAATTGGTTGTGAATCAACAAGAATCTTTCTTGGCAATGTGGCAGCCTGGCCAAGGTAAATTGTCAAGAGATTTACAATTCTTTTCTTGACAGAAATGAGGGCATCAATCAGTTCTGCGACCCTAGATACTTCAGGGCATGAATGTCGCTGATCTTGATTGCACATCATTTGGCAATATCTCCTAAAATGCATTATCTCCCCTACTGAATGCAGGGATCTGACTGAAACCACAGTTACATGCCCTCCTGACTCCACCCCATGCATGGTCACGCAAAACCTTCAAAGCACTTTTTGCCGCTTGTGCCTCTCCTTCTGCACCACCTGTGTCAAGGCAGCAGCACCATGTGAGTCGGGTTTGATGGTTGACCCCAGCCGGTTCAGTCCGTTTGCAAAATTTGTTGGAGGGCCATATAGGCTGTGACAGATTTCACTGCAAAATGTCTCCAACTTCCTCCAGAATCTATCATTGTCCAGGCTTCTGCTTCCTACGTTCAACATGATTTTGCTGCCTAAATACGAACCAAACCGAATGGTTTGCGTTGAAACCGAACTCCAGTGTAGTAGTATGTGTTAGAAACACCACCAGTCTGCTAACCAACTGGGTTAGAAGGGCATGTTGGTGTTGGTGGGTTAGCAGCACACCCATATCCCCCAGGGCGCGACCCGTAGCCCTTCGGGGATCTCTGGGTCATCCGAGAGCAATGGTGTGTTCATGAGGACAGGTCTAACCATGGGCCATGGCCCACCCGGAACCTAGTCGGACCGCTCGGCCCTGTTCGGCCGCTCGTGAAAATCTTTGGTCTGGGCTCGTTTAAGGGCGGGTCCAACTTTGTACACTCCCTTTTTTTTTCGTTATTTTTACGTCAACACACTTGTCAAATTTGACTGTACCCCAGGGCATACTCCTAACGTTTCCTGTCCAGTTTGGAGTGTACAGTGCGGACTTTTGACGAGGTACATTAACGTTGCGAGGTACAGTACCTGGGAAGGAGAGTTACCAAATGTTGCGAGGGTTTCCGCATCTAGGGCGAAGGGAATAATGTTATGGCGAAAGGGTTTTGGCGAAAAACGGGCGTTACTGTTAACGGGAAGCGAGTTGGGAGACGAACCTTCGGATGTGTTCCGCACGTCCCGGGGCACATTTCCGAAATGAGCGGATTTATGTACAGTCTCGCGTCAAACGGAATTCGTACTAAAAGTTCTGTTACATGCTTAATTTTGGTAACTGAGCTGAAAATTAACCGTACATGTGCAAAGTTTGACCCGCCCTAAGCATGCTGAGGATGTCAGTCAGATGTTGTGCTTGAACCTAATCAGCCCGGGTCGGACCAGTTCAAGTCTGAACCGAGCTTAATTCGTTGTAATCACACCAAATCCCAGATTTGTTACCAGAATTTTATTCTTCCAGGATTCATAAATGTACAAAATCTTCAAAACCTAGTAGAACCAATCCTAGCACCAACCATGAGGGTAGGTTGTTGGGAGATGAAGGGGCAAGAGACTAGGCTGGTAAAAAAACGGGAAGGCTGGCGCTCAAAATCGAGCCCCAGTTTTCCAGAATTCTAGTCGTGAGTGTCCTAGGCGTGCCGTGCGAGGTTCGTGTCGGGCTGCGGGTCGACACGAACCGGCCCCGTTCGACTGTCGGAAAGGCCGCAAAAGTTGATGCTGCAGTTTTCTGGTCCAGTCCAACCTGGGCCGGTTCGCCAAACCTAAGCGTCCAACCTGGGCTACAGACCGGTTCGACTTAGGCTAGACCAAATTCGACTATGTGCTTGAGCCTACTATGCTCATGTCATGTCTACCACTACTCAATAAAAAGCATGATATCAAGCTGCGCTTCTCATTCCACTGCTTCGTTTCCTTCCCACTCACTCCCTTCCCCTCCCATGGCCATAACTTCCCTTCCCATGTCCATCCCGCCCCTTGCCACCTCCAGTGCCTCCCTCCTCATCTCTAGGGAGCTTTACAGCGTCCTCATCCTCCCCCACTGCCTCCCTAGCATCCTCGCCCTCGCCTGCATCGTCCTCCTCCCAGTCTGACGGGCTCTCAGCAGCAGCCATTGCTGGCATTGCCGTGGCTGCTGTGGCTTCCCTCCTGCTGCTGCTGGTTGGCCTGCTGCTCTATTGGCGGGGCTACAAGAACAAGACAGCACAAATGGCGGCTGCAGCAGTCTCTGGGAGCAAGGATTTACTGTTAAGGGATTCTGAAGGTATCTATCAAGCTCTTTGCATCCGTCTGTCTCTCGTCCACCTTTTCTCACTAGAAAACGGTTGGTATTCAGATGCAGATGGAGTTGGGTAAGTAGCAATCAGGGGGCGAGCTGGGGCTACCAGCTCAACTACAGTTGCATAACAACATATTTCGGTAGGCCAGCGTGCATTGTGGTGTGGACAACACTCGTAACTACAGCTCCTATCGGGTAAAAGACTCCTGTGAAACTGCAGAGGAATTCAGCTTCACTACAGTGCACAAAGTGCATGCACACCACCTGGCCCATCCAGGTGAAACAGAAACAGGCTGTCCATGTGGAGGATTGGAAGAGCGAGCTGGATTGTGTTTTTTGTTTGTTTTTTTTGCTTTCTCCAATGGTCTTTTTATAAATTTGAAGCATGAATACAAGATTGATTAAGGTAAGTATTGTAGGGAACATGGGAAGGAGGGAGGTGGACGTGGGGCTGGATGGGAGGTCCAGCTTATCAGCAGAGAAGCTAGTGGGAAGATCCAAGCAACCGCATGATGCCAATCCAATGCCTAATCTACCGTTTTTAGCTCCCCTCAAAACTCAATCAGCAGCCTGTCATTAACTAGATATAAATGATTTCCGAGCCGGCGTGTGCTCTTGATTGCGAAGTCCTGAAGCGTTCTACACACTGTGTGTACAGCTAAATTACTGTATCAATTCATGCTTCAAGTGTACCGTGTGTTGAGTTAGCTTCTTCTCTTGCTCTTCCCATGTGCAACATGGCAGCCTCGCACTGCACGGAGTACTCCCTGGAGGAAGTGCTCACAGCCACCAGCAACTGGGCGAGTGACAACCAGCTCAGGTCGGGCTCCTTTGGTGACGTGTACAAGGGCGTGTCTACGCGCGATGGCACCACCCTGTGGGCCGTCAAGCGAGCCAAGCTGCTTGATGCTGACTTCCAGCGCGAGGTGGGACCTTGCAGCTGAGTAATTCTTCCGTGCCGTTCTTTCACCTCAAAGGGAGCGAGATAAAATAATCGCCGTTGTCCATCCAAAAATTTAAACCCATTTCATGACAGGTGCGACAATTGGCCGACAAGAACCATCCCAACATCGTGCGGCTTCTAGGGTTTACTATTGGGGGTGACATGAGGACACGGCTAGAGCAAGTTTTAATTTACGACTTCATTCCAAATGGTGATCTTTAGAAGTGGACCAGTGCAGGTGTGTACTTCCCTATGGCCGTGTTCCTTGTCACACAGACTGTGGCGCTCATATCGCGCATGTGCTTTGCAGAAGCGCCCTATCACCTGAGCTTCAAGCAGCAGCTGGACATTCTCATTGGTGCTGCACGTGGCTTGGAGTACCTCCACAGCTTCTCCCTTGTGCATCGCGACATCAAACCCGCCAACATCCTCCTCACAGCAGACATGTAGGCAAGCGCTCAGGGATGTATTTAAATTAACCTTTTGTTTTGTGCAAGTTGAAGTAGGCATGTACTGGAACAAGCCGCGCCCCAGGCGGCTTGGGTTACAGCGGGCCTTACAGCCCGCATCGGGCTGGGATGCATGCACGTGAGTCGAGTCATGCACGTGAGTCGAGTCATGCACGTTACCTTATTAGGTAAAAGACTTGGTGGGGTGGAAATCAACTTCAAGGAACAGCATCCTCACCAGGCTGGCCTGGGTCGGGCCAGCCCCGGCCCGGCTTGTAAGTCCATCCTGGTCGAGCCGGCTGGCCCTTGCAATGTTGCAACGGAAGCATACACAATTTTTAAGCCACTCAGAGCAAAGAATAAGGCAAATGTGTGTTAGTCTGCCTTACGACTGAAGCTCGAGAGAAACTAGGGTGATCTCGGATATTATGTGCAACACTCGTTGTGGAAGTCAAGTGAAAATAGTGTGCAATGCGCATACGTAATCAAGGGTTGAGGATAGGTGTTTTGTAGAACAATGCAAACAAATATTGACTGTTTTACAACATGGAATCTTCGCCTCTTGTTTTCTATAAGGCATTATTATTGCCATGCCATCTATCAGGCCAAGGTTGCGGACTTCGGGCTAGTGAGGGCGGAAGAGGGTTCCACCGTGGGCACAACTCGGGTGATGGGGACACCGGGCTACGTGGATCCCATCTACTTCCGCACGTCAAAGGCAACCACCACCACCGATGTCTACAGGTGAACTATATTTTCCATGGGGCGATGACTACTCTCAATATTTAAGCGGTATTTATTAAGATGAAACAATTAGCCTCACAGTTTGAGGACATTGCCCATGTTCCTCTCACTACCCGTCTGTGTGTGCAGCTTCGCTGTGCTCATGCTTGTGGTTTTAACCAAACGAAGGCGCCCGCTATACACGGATGATGGAAAGTGCCACCACATCCTCTCATGGGTGAGTGCAATCTTTTCATGGGGTGGACCAATGCACCAGTGCTCCACACAACACACCACTCCACACAACACCACTGCTGTTTGCTGCTGTTCCCTATCTGGTCAGCAGTCAGCCTTCACATGCCATGCCTCACGTGCGCACTCGAGCCTGTTTACATGTCTTGCTTACCATGTCATGCCCTGCTTGCACACGAGCTTGTTGGCATCCCCACCTCCACATCTGTCAGGTGGAGGCGTGCATCACCCAATCCAGCCTCAAGGACCTGAGCATGGACGCCCCGGATGATGCTGTGCTGCGCCTGGCCCAGCTGGCTCTCAGCTGCACTGTGGAGCGCACTGCAAGCCGGCCCAGCATGGCAGACGTTGCCAAAGAGCTACAAAGTGTCAGGAATGAAGTGGTGGGAAGGGTGGAGATGAGTGCAGCAGTCAAGGTGGATGTGCAAGTGCAAGAGATGAAGGCTGCGTCCATTCACAAGCCGCCTGCAAGGAGCTTCCTCCAGATAGTGAACAATTACTGGAAGACAGCTTCCTCCAGAAAGTAACTTGGGGCACTTGCGGATGTATATAATAATTTTGTGATGTGTGACTGAGGCTTGCAAATGCCCATACATCTGACAACTGATGACCATACTACCCTTTTGAAAAACACACCTTTATTTGCCTTGAGGATTCAATCAAGGTGTGCTTGGTTGTGCCCTGCGATTTCTGGGCAGTGCTGATTCTGGATTTGTAAGTTCTTGACAGGCAGGAGCAATAACTAAGGTCCAAATTTCAGAGTAGGTAGGATAGAACCATACCAACCTTGCATCAATCCCGCCTCCAACAAACCACCCAGAGGGCTAATGCTTGGAAACTAAACTAGTTGTCCAGAAACCTACGTGAAAATGTGATAATAGAAAAGAACCTTCCAAATCTGCCAACCTCCTTTTCAGACTTGGTTGCTAAACGCTAGGTAGGTAGGCACAGATGTGCTAAATTTCCAACAAACGTGCGATCTCGTGTTGTTTACACATCATCTGGTAACCCAATTGTAACAAGTTAGTAGCACCCTTGAGCCAGAGTGAACATTCGTTTGTTCTTACCAACCGGTCGTGCCGCCTGATATGTTTTTAAGCTATCGGCTCGTCTTCAAATGAATCTCCCTGCAGCAGCTTGTCGACGCACTGCAGATGAGTATCCACCGCAACTGAGTCCCTCATCTCTTGGGCTCGCTCATCCGCTTTCGCTGCTGCAGGCAGCTCCACTTTCCCCACCACCTCATTCCTGATTCCCTGCAGCTCATTGACAACGTCTGCCATGCTGGGTCGGCTTGCAGTGCGCTCCACAGTGCAGCTGAGAGCCAGCTGGGCCAGGCGCAGCACAGCATCATCCGGGGCGTCCATGCTCAGGTCCTTGAGGCGGGCCAGGGTGTTGGAGGAAAGACAGGACTCCACCTGATGGGTTGGGGAAAGGGGGAAGGCAGTAACTTTATGACATGGTGGATGCGGGACACACTGACATTGACCCAACCACACTGGGATCAACCCAATGTGAGCTATGAATGAGGCATTGACTATGAATGAGGCATTGGCTATGAATGAGAGAGTGGCTATGAATGAGGGAGTGCCTACTATTGAGGCAGCGCAACCATGTTAGAGCCAGTGAGGTGCGCCGTCCATGCTAGGCGCTTCAGATGGTTGGAGGAGTTGAAGAAGGGACGGCGAGGATGGCACCAGGCTGAAGGGTGCAGTAGAGATTGACATGGTCACTGGTCTCAGACCGACTCAATTAATTGGCTCCGGTTAATAGTCCAGCTATTCATGAAAGCCAGCAGCACCTTCAGTAGTGCCATGTGCAACAGTGGTAGCATGTGTAATGATCGTGACATGCTTATATTGCAATAGGGCGTACCCATTTCAGAATGTGGACGTTCTCTCCATCAGCGGCAGACGGGCTTCGCCCAGTGAGGACCACAAGCATGAGCACACCGAAGCTGCAACAAGGGCGGGATGTTGACAGATTCAAACACACAAATGGCCATGATCCATGTGTGATTCGATGATTGCATGTTAGGATAGAGTAATCACATTACCAATGAATGGCTGCACAACCATTCGCACCCATTTTCCGGCGAAAAGCAGAGCTCAGCAGATAGGTGATGAGCTCTGCAGATACGTGATGAGCTTATTGGGACGCAGACTCACCTGTAGACATCGGTGGCCCGGGTTGCCTTTGACGTCTGGGAGTAGATGGGATCCACATAGCCCGGTGTTCCCATCACTCGAGTCGTGCCCACAGTGGTGCCCTCCTCTACCCTCACAAGTCCAAAGTCCGCAACCTTGGCCTGGTTGATGGCATGTGCAAGAGGAAAAAAAATCGCATGTATCAGACTTCTTGAGCAATCCTCATTGTAACAAGTGCAAGTTTGAAATCCGACTCCATGGAGCGTTGAACAGACTCGAAATACAACCAGTTTTTCCTTTACACATACATCCACACTTGCCTGGTGTTAGCATTTCACACTGATTGCGTGGTACATAGATTCCAGAATTATACCAAGGAAAGGGGCTTATTTCCTGATAATACGCCTTGAAGCATACGTATGCACCAATTTTCTTTATAATGATACACTTTTTGCGGTAATAAAGACATCACGCGAAAAATGTCTGGCGCTGTATAGAGCTTGCCTGCATGTCTGCTGTGAGGAGGATGTTGGCGGGTTTGATGTCGCGATGCACAAGGCCAAAGCTGTGGAGGTACTCCAAGCCACGTGCAGCACCAATGAGAATGTCCAGCTGCTGCTTGAAGCTCAGGTGATAGGGCGCTTCTGCAAAAGCACATACACGATATGAGCGCCACAGCGTGTTTGAGTCCACCGTTTGTGGTCATCGTCGCCAAGTGGAGAAGTACTTCCTTACTACATCTACATACCTGCACTGATCCACATCTCAAGGTCACCGTTCGGAACCAACTCGTAGATCAGGACTTGCTCTGGCCGTGTCCTCATGTCCCCCCCAACAGCGAATCCAAGAAGCCTCACAATGTTGGGATGGTTCTTGTCGGCCGTTTGTCGCACCTGCAAGAGCAGCATGACATGGGAGGTGGCAACATGGGATGCAACTTGGATGAAGAGTGTGCAAAGCACTCATGCTTTACATATGGCACGCTGTTAATTCCTGCATAAGCCATGATAAAAGCATGGGGCACAAGTGGTGACCAACCTCGCGCTGGAAGTCAGCATCAAGCAGCTTGGCTCGCTTGACGGCCCACAGGGTGGTGCCATCGCGCGTAGACACGCCCTTGTACACGTCACCAAAGCCTCCTGACCTGAGCTGGTTGTCACTCGCCCAGTTGCTGGTGGCTGTGAGCACTTCCTCCAGGGAGTACTCCGTGCAGTGCGAGGCTGCCATGTTGCCGCCCAGGCCTGCGATGAGAGGATGGTATGAAATGAGGGGTACAGGTGCAAAGGTCACATGGTGAGACGCTTAGTTGGTTACTTACGTCTTTTTGGTTGCGTGAACCTAACTTCACGCTTAAAGTTGGCTCGGCAGGTTAAATTCATACTCGGAAAAAGACTGGCCACTTTTGACGTGAAAATTTAGGTCAGAGGCAAGTCATGGCATGTTGTTGGCCAAAGCAGTGTCACGAGCAAGCACTTCCTATGTTAAGTGAAATTATACAGCTGAGATGCATGTAGTACCTGCATAATAAGTAATCATGCAGCAGGGCAGAAAATGAGAATTGGACTGACCTGAAGCATAAATCGGTTCTGAGAACACATAAACACATGTTCTTTCATACTTGCTCACGTGCCATCCCCTTTCATACTCGCTCACCTGCTATCCCCTTTCATACTCGTTCACCTGCTATCCCCTTTCATACTCGCTCACTTGCTTACTCACTATCTCCCCCTCTGACACCAGAGATTGCACTGACAGTCTGAGTAGAGGGATACGGGGAGGGAGGCAGGTCAGGAGGGAGGGATGGAGGAGGTAAGGAGTGGAAGACCCATACCATCAGAATCCGTTTGCACTTGCAGTACTGCATCTTGGCCGTGCTTCTCTGCTGCGGCATCTCCTGCTGCTGCCTCTTTCTTGTAGCGCCTCCAACACAGTAGCCCACCAACCAGCAGCAGCAGCAGGGACGCCACAGCAGCCACGGTGATGCCAGCAATGGCCGCAGCTGACAGGCCGCCAGACTGGGAGGAGGACGATGCAGGCGAGGGGGGTGGTGGTGGTGAGGCAGTGGGGGGGGATGGAGACGCTGTGGTGCTCCCTGGCGATGGGGTGGGGGGCCCTGCAGGAGGCAAGAGGCGGAATTGACATGGGAGGGGAAGGGATGGATATGGGAGAGGAATGGGATGGAGGCAAGAGCGGTTGCAAGGGGTGGGATGCACAGAAGGTGTTGTGTTCATGATTGTGAAGTGCAATTGAGTCAGTGTAAGAATCGTGTGTCGATTGAACATGACTATCGCTATCCAAATAGAGCAGCAGTACTGCTGCTGCTTGTCCTGGCATGGGATGTTGAGCCCCAGGCATGCTGAGCCCCAGGCATGCTGGATGGATGGCAACTCTCACTGACATTGTGTTATGCGACCATGGGAGAGAAAGTCATGCTGGGAAAGACAAGGCATTCGAGGGAAGGGGGATAGCTGATAAGATCATTGTAGCTCACTGGTTCCAGGCTTGATGCAAGTGGTGCAGAAGGAGGGGCATTGGCGGCAGAAGGCGCTTTCAAGCTGCTGTTGCGCCACGCATGGGGTGTTGTCAGGAGGGCACGTAAGGCTGGTTCCATTCAGGTCCCTGAATGTGGAAAATCAAGAGAGTAGAAAATCGTATTGAGCAAGTCTTTCATTTCGTTTGCCATGACTTTTGGCAAGCATTCGACCTGAAGTTGGAGATCAACATTTTTATTCTTAAATAGAAGAATCAGCTGCTCTCATTAGCTCTCAGCTGACTGATGTGCTTGGAAAATGCACTCCCCCAGGCACATAAAAGGAGAAAATTGCTTGCCAAGGCAGAGAATCTCCTCATGCATGACGAGCCAAGAGCCATCACTTGTGGACAAAGAGCCGTCACTAGCGAGAGAGGAGAGCTCACAAGATGGAGAGCTGCACGAGGTTGCCTAGGGACCCCGGGATGCTGCCAGTCATGCTGGTGTTGGCAAGGGACCTGATGGGAGGGGAGCAGACAGCACAACGAGAGGGTTACATTCACAAAGGGAGGGCACGACATCAACGGAGCAGCAAGTTTAAGTGAAATTTGAGTTCATTTGAGAAGGCAGAACACGGAATTCCAATTTAACCTTGAAGGAAGATAGTTAGAGATCAATTGATGCCATACATTCATATTTACTAAGTTGGTGAGGCTCGAAAATGACTCTGGCATGGAACCAGAAAGTGAGTTTGATGAAAAGTTCCTGCATTATAGATTGGGGTGAAGGAATCCCAACACAAACCTTTCAGGAGGGTTTGACAAAAATTACAAATATCTGGTTGGAGGGACTGTGGTTCTCATCCCAAGTTTGTGAATAAGTCCGAATGATGGGTCCTTGATTCATGCACTCAAAAATCGCAAATCCGACCACATGAGTTTCTTGCTATGATGGTGCATATTAATCAAAAGAGACAACTTCTGATATCTTTTGGATCTACCTTGTTTCATACTGGAACGTCATGCTCTGTTCTTCATTGCTTGCATCAAAGAGGCCAAACATCAATCCGCATGTGCCATGATGAACATGGTGTTCTCGTCATGAAAGCTCGTTGGTCGACTGTAAATTTGGCTTACATATGAATTAAGAGGAAAGTCACAAGCATGAAATCTGTGCCACTGGCAAGCTAATACAATATCAACGTGCTCACAGGTTCGTCAAGGAGCTTATGCCCCCAATAATGGATGGAATGGACTCGGTCAAACCGTTTGTAGACAGATCCCTGAGAAACAAGCAAGCATGGCATGGAGATGAAACGCCATCAATCATGGGGGGAGAAAAGAAGGAATTTTGTACGCTGTACTTTGCAGCAGGTGCGTGCAACTAGGCGGACATGAGGGCAGGGCAGGCAGGGTTGAGCTGGGACGAAGTGCCAAGCCGAGGTGGGCAGTTGTATGGCTTGGTAGTTGCTTTGCCTGGCTTGCAGCGCATCATGACAAAACGGGGCACTTTTTGTTTTCTGGCAAGCCCAAAGTCATTTAACAAGTGTTTATAATTTGTCTGAACACTATTTAACCGGAACAGAGAATGCCCCAGTTTACTTACACATATTTCCTGGCCAGGATTCTGTCAACCAAATAGAACTCGCAGGGTTTGCGGGCTGAAAAAAAACTTTGTGTATACTAACCGACCTTGGCATGACTTCTGATGCCCACCCCCCCTCTCCCTCCAGACAAACATCCTCAAAAGATGCGGTTCGCAGACTGGAACACCATTGCAATGGGAACACCGTTGCGATGGGAACACCGTTGCGATGGGAACACCATTGCGATGGGAACACCATTGCAATGGGAACACCGTTGCGATGGGAACATGATTGCGATGGGAACACGATTGTGATGTGAACACCATTGCAATAGGAAGAGTGCAAATCTTACTAAAGTCAAGCGTATGGGAACCTTGCCCATATCCGAGTTTGCATAGCGTTACCAGTCAACTGAGTAAAAACAGCTTGAGTGGGTCAAGTAAAACTCGACTCGAGCTACTAAAGCCTACCAGACTACCTCCCAACCCCCTTCCGCAGATCCCTGGTTTACGTTACTTACGTGTCTGTCAACTCACCCGCCCTGTGCATAACATAGAACCTACGAAAGGGCACCCACCCCCCTCCACTCATAGCAACTTCCCCCCAACCAACACCTCTAATGATGGAAGCAAACTTGGCGGGACACCCAGCCCCCCCGCCCCCATGAGCATCCTTTCCTTTCGGCTTGTGCACACACGTTTTACCAGCACAGCACAAGGCAAACACCGCCCCCTCTAACCGTACATATGCACCCCCCCGCTGGAGGCTCAAATGTCGCGAAAGTTGTAATTATTTCAACGAGCCGGTAAAAACTCGCGGTTCAAGAATTCCAAAAATCTCTAAGTTGTTAGCTCAGTTTACATTGCATTGGTATAGAGTAGAAGGCTGGATTGTGCAAATTCCTAACACCTGCATATTTGGCGAATAAATTTCCAGTAAAAACTTGTCAGATTTATATGACATAGATACTGTAGGCTATAGTGGGGTAGCACATATGGGGTATGGTTTCCTTAGGGTTTGTACTTGTACCCCAACTTTCCCTTAGTCACATTCATTCCTTGTTTATTTCACATGGTATAGAGCAGGTTCCCCTGTGGGAACTGTTCCTAGGGCCCACCAACTGAATTTTTTTTTTTTTACCTGCCCGGAGATCGAGTCGCCCCAGCCCGAGGCGCGCCCTGTGTGCCGCTCTCCCCTTAGCGACCCGTCGCGCCGCCCTTGGCGGCCCACCCTCTCTCACGGCCCCTAGCGACCCCGTCGCCGCCCCCTAGCGGCCCGTCGCGCCGCCCTGAACAGCCCGTCGCGCCGCCCTCAGCGGCCCCTTGCGGCCCTCCCTCTCGCGGCCCCGTCGCCGTCGTTCGCGGACCCCCCCCCCCCCGCCGCCCTTAACGGCTGCGTCGCAGCCCGTCGCGGCCCTGCAGCCGCTCCTCGCGGCCTCGTCGCCGCCCTCTCGCGGCTGCAGTAGCGCGTGCTGCTGCTGCCGCCTCCGCTGCTGCCGTGATCGCTGCCGCCGCTGCTACCGTGGCGGCTGCCGCCACTGCTGTCGTCACAGCTGCCGCGGCTACTGCTGAGACAGCAGCCGCCGCCGCCGCCGCTGCTACCGTGATTGCGCCCCCGCCGCCTCTTCTCAGTGGCCCCGCCGCCTCCTCCCAGCGGCCCCGGACGCAGCCCTCTCAGCGGCCCCGCCGAGCCGCTCAACAGCCGAGCCGCCCAGCAGCCGAGCCGCCCAACAGCCGCGCCGCCGAGCTGCCCAGCAGCCGAGCCGCCAAGCTGCCCAGCAACAGAGCTGCTGAACTGCACAGCAGCCGAGCCGCCGAGCCGCCCAGCAGCCACGCCACCGAGCCGCCCTGCAGCCGAGCCACCCGAGCCGCCCGGCAACCGAGCCGCCCAGAAGCCGAGCCGCCGAGCCGCCCAGCAGCCGAGCTGCCGAGTCGCCCAGCAGCCCTGCAGCCGAGCCGCCGAGCAGCCGAGCCGCCGAGCCGCCCTGCAACCGAACCACCCGAGCCGCCCTGTCCGGTAAGAGCAGCGCCTCTTTCACAGCACTGCCCTCACCCTACTGTTTGCGCTGCTAGTCTACTGCTGTCATGGCTACCCCTAGTGTCCTCGCTTTTGACGCTGAGGGCCGGGCCATTGACTTTGACGTCTGGATAGATGACCTGCAGCTTTTCTTACAGTGCGACAGAGCAGACGGCCTCTCCCTCTTTGACCTCACTTCTGGTGCCTCCCCTGCCCCCGCTGCTGATGCTGACGCCACTGTTCGCTCACAGTGGGCCACGCGCGATGCTGCTGCACGTCTTGCTGTGCGTCGCCACCTGCCTACCTCTGAGCGCGCACACTTTAGCCAGTACAAGAGTGCTCACACCTTGTACGACGCTGTCGTTGCGCGCTACTCCTCCCCTGCCACTGTTGCACTGAGCCGCCTCATGCTACCGTACCTCTTCCCTGACCTTGCTGCCTTTCCCACAGTCGCTGACCTCATTACGCACCTCCGCACTAGTGACACTCGCTACCGCGCTGCCCTTCCTGCTGAGTTCTGCGCCAAGAACCCCCCCCCCATGTACATCACCCTCTACTACATAGTCACCCGGCTCCCTGACTCCCTTCGCGTAGTCAGGGACCACTTCCTCTCAGTTTGCCCCACCACTCTCACCGTTGATCTCCTCGAGAAGGCCCTCCTAGCAGCAGAAAAGAGCATAGTAGCTGTAGGAGCCTCTCGTGGTGACCCTCGCACCCCCGTCTTTGAGGGGTGTTCCCCCTCCCCCCTTTTGCCCTCTGTTGCCTCTGCTGCTGCGGCCGACCTCGTTGGGCTTGAGTCGGTCGGTGCGGCGTCTACCCCTAGCGGGAGACGCCGCCCTGGCAAGGGCAAGGGGGGCAGGGGCACTGGAGGAGCTAGCGGGGGCGGTGGAGGCGGCGGTGGAGGCGGTGGAGGGGGTGGGAGTGCCGGAGGGGGTGGTAGCGGGGGTGGAGGGGTCGGTGGCGGCAGTGGAGGCGGAGGCGGCTGCGGCGGTGGCGGTGGGAGCGGAGGTGGCGGCGGTGGAGGAGGCGGCGGCGGAGGAGGTGGAGCGGGTCGGGGTGGTGCTACGCAGAGGGTCGGCCCCGGTGGTGGTCAGCGCCAGCAGCAGCAGCAGCAGCAGCAGCAGCAGCAGCAGCGCACTCGTGACATCCCCCCCCCTCAGCAGCTCCGTGAGTGGTACGCTGCACGCCAGCGAGGTGGGGGTACTGGTCCGTGCACCTACGTCCTACGCACCGGCGACCGCGCGGGTGAGCAGTGCTGGGGTGCGCACTCCACCCAGCGCTGCTTTGGCCGCCTGACGGACGCTTGGCGTCACCAGTTCCCTGAGGCCACTGAGATCCCCCGCTGGGGTGAGCTGTCTAGGGCGGGGGTAGCTGTCTTTGACCTTGACTTTGATGCTATTCTTGCTGCCATGTATACTGTGACTATTAGTGATGAGGCTGACTGTTACCGGTGCTTTCCGCCCGACCCGGGCATTGAGTCTGCTGCTCTAGGTACTGGTGAGGCTGCTGCTCTAGGTGCTAGCGAGGCTGCTGCTCTAGGTGCGTCTGCTCCCTCAGGTACTGGTGAGTCTGCTCTCTCAGGTTCTGCGTCGGCTTCGGCCTCCCACACCTTCACCCTTGACTCGGGGGCTTCTCGCTCCTTCTTTCGAGACCGCACCACACTCACGCCGCTTGGCCGGCCAGTTGCAGTCTCTCTGGCAGACCCCTCTGGGGGTCCTGTCCTTGCTCACTTCTCCACTGTCCTCCCGTGTCCGGCGGCCCCCTCTGGCACCCTGTCTGGTCTTTACCTCCCCTCGTTCTCTACGAACTTGGTGAGTGGTGCTGACCTACAGGATGCGGGGGTTCACCAGTTCACTCCTGCGAGTCAGCGGGTGACCCACTGCACGGACGCTCGGACAGGCCGACACCTGGCCACGTTTACACGTCGGCCGGGGTCGAGCCTGTACACACTGACCACTGCGTCTCCTCCAGTCACTGCGTCTAGTCAGGTAGCTGCGTCGGGTCAGGTGTTTGCTGCAGCGTCCAGGTCTGGTCCTGAGTCTGCCCCCTGCTCGTGTCGCCTCCTGTCTCACGAGACTCTCCTCTGGCACCACC